GGGGGGGGGGGGGTGCTTACGTGCAGGTGTTGCAGTCCTTCTTCCAGGTGGTGCCGGGCGTGCACTCGTCACCCACGCGCTCGGGCTTGACGCTCCTCTTGGACAGGCACGCCATCTGCGTGCAGATGGCACGCCCGGTCGCGGTGCACCTGCAGCCGTTGCAGTCCTGGCGCCAGCTGGTGCCGGGCGTGCACTCGTTGCCCACGACGGGGCCCTCCCCGTTATTGGTGCCGCCGTTGCCACCTCCTAGGCAGGCCATGAGCGTGCACGCGGCCCGCCCGGTCGGCGTGCACCTGCAGCTGTTGCAGTCCTGCTTCCAGGTGGCGCCGGGCGTGCAGTTGTTGGGGTCGGGCCTGTCCTGTCCGCCGCCGAGGCACAGCTTGTACGTGCACGCCTTGCGGCCGTTGGCGCACCTGCAGGTGTTGCAGTCCTCCTGCCAGACGTCACCCTCCTTGCACTCGGCCTGCTGGGCGGGCTCCAGCGAGGGCGCAGGCAGACACGCCCGCTGCGTGCACAGCGCCACGCCCGTGTCCGTGCAGCGGCAGTCGTTGCAGCCGTCGTTCCAGGTCGCGCCCGGCTGGCACACCTTCACCACGTCCAACTCGGCTGCAAGGGCGGAACAAGGGGATGCGGTTAAAAAGCAATCAGCTGCAGAGGCTGCAGATGAGACGGCGCGGTAATAGCCAGGGCTATTTTAATTTTAAGTACAGGGTGGTTCACAGACCCCTTCCTTTATTTTACCTACTGTGTCGAACGCAAGCGGTGAAGTTACACGAAAAAAACAACAACAAAAAAGTGGAGTAGGGCGCATAAAAATCGACCTCGCAATTGTATTGTTTTACAACAAAGTACAACTGTGCAGTAGCATGGCGCTCCCGCTGTGGTTCGCGCCGTACTGTACACTAAATGTAGAGAGGGACGAGTTTTGTACGTTAGCTAAATGTGTCCTTGTACATATCTTTATCAGATACAAATTTGTCTATGAGGAGGTACAAGTTGTACCTAGACTAGATACAAACGCCTCGACAAATGCTATATTCTTTATGAAACCTATAGATACAAATTCGAATCTTATTTTTATGTGCACAAGGACACTTCTACGCTAGCTACAAAATTGTTATTTCCGAATTAGAGTAATACGTGTGGTAGGTAGCGATACTGTCCCGGATGCACACGTGAGCGTAGGTTGCCTACTTCCACGGAGCTCTGAGGAGCCGTTTGCTAGTGACCGCAGGGGAAGTGACGCCCCACACCCAATACCACGCAGTAAGGGACTGTTTAACTAGTACGTGTACCGTTTAGGTCTCTAACGCTTTTAACTACAGCACCAAGTAATACAGTGCGTGCTCGCACTCGGCTTGCACATTGATCCGTCACCAAAAACGCGCGGACCGGACAACTTACCATAGGCGCAGCAAGTCGCCAGGGCCAGCACGGCCATGGCCACGATCCACTTCATGTCGAACGAGATGTTGGCGGGCGAACTTCGGGGCGTTTAAAATATATATCACGACAGACACTGAAAAGGGACGTCACTCGACTCTGCCGGACGCTCGATCAGGTGTCAACGGGTGTCACTCACTACTGAGGCTTCGACCCGCGGCCGCGGCTATATACGTAGCAGCTCCGCGAGCCGCTCTCCTCCCCAGCCTCCCGAGGCGAGAGGGGAGAGGGCGAGGGCGGCACGGGATGAGGGGGTGGAGGAGAGGGAGGGAGGGGGAGGTTTCGCGGAAAGCTTGTGCTGTGCTTTCCACGGGAATGTGTGTGAGTGTATATGTCTCTGTTGTTGTTGGTGTGAGTGACGCACCAGCAAGACAGAGAGAGAGAGGGAGGGAGAGAGAGAGAGACAGAGAGCCAGAGAGACACTTGCGCTGGCTGACCGGTCGGCGGATGGGTGTGGATCGTCCCGCCCGGGAAGTGTGAGGAAGGTGGGGTACAGAGCGTTTGCCGTCTCACTCGCGTATCCTCCGCCCAAACAGCGTCATAATGCGGCACTGTACGCAAAAGGACCAGGACCAGGGCCAGGTTGGCCAGCTTCCAGATCTCCTCTTTGCCACTCGTTCCATATCTCTGTTTATTCTTAACGCATCAAAAACCGAGAAATGTAGGAAGACCCCGACCCACTCTCGCGGTGTTATCAGTCAGGATCCCCGCAGGGGAATTCACCGTATGGTTCACACTGTTTTCACCAAGTGCGAGGCAGTCTCACGATTGCGAGATTATTCTCTTCTACCATTTACCGGAAATAAATCTCGCGCGAGTGTGATGAGACTATGGTTCACGTTTTGGCGTAACCGTGCATCCTCCCGTCTGACGCAAGGTAGTAGTGGCGGTATCACGGGGAGGGCGAGGGGCGGTTGCCCCCCCCCCCCCTTCCCGGTCGGCCCGAGAAATCTAGGCAACCCTACCTGCCTCTCCTGACGTCCCTGTTTGTAGCTACAGGATTGTAGCCACATAGCCACAACTCTTCCGGCCGCTTCCAGCTTATTCCGAAAAGACTATAGAAGCGCCCGAGGGGGCAATAACTCCCTTTTGTGTGTACACATGATTCCCGAAATACTTGATTCCCAGTGATTCCCGGTGATTCCCGCCCGCTTATAATTATTTCTCAGGTTTTCTATTGGTAGAAAACGCTCATTTCGACTAATTTGTACCAGTTCCGCTAGTTTTCCGCTCAGTTTAAGTGATTTCTGTTGATTTCGATCAATTTCTATCGTGATGATTCTCAAGCAGGTGTACACATGATTCCCGGAGTTCTTGCCCCCTCGGAAGCGCCATTTAGGACCAATTTGTTTTTCCAAAGAATAATGTGAAAAAGAGAGAGTACCCACCCCGCTTTTACACGGGGCCCCGCGTGCTTAACTTCGGAGTTCGGATGGGATCCGGTGTGTCCACGCCAGCAGCCAGACTGTTAGATCCAACCAACTGTTGACCAGGGTTGTCGCCTACCCGCTTAAACAGGAACGACGGGTACCCAATTTGTTTTGCGGAGACTTTACGGCTGGTTAAGCCGAACTTACCCCCCTGTCCTGTCTCCCGCCAGCGTGCATTTGCAGGGGACATGACCACCTGAGGGAACAGTGCGGCATAGATAGGAGAGACAAGACGCAGCACCCGCCCGGCAGGAGTGCGAGGTGTGCCGGGGAAGTCCCCCGCCAGGACAATTAACACATTCACGTGTCAAGCTGCGGCGTGGTGCACGTCGCGCCGTGTGCCGAGTGCACGGCTGGGGTGATCTGAGGTCGTGTCCCTCCTGCACTGTCGTCGGTGACCTGGACCGGCATCTCGCCTGCCGCCTGCCGTCCGTGCCTTCCCGCCGACGCGATCCTCGTTCGCCCTCACCGTGACACACACGCTCGTTGTGGTGGGCATGTTTTGACTGCGTTGCTTATTTTCTTTTTTCCGATGTTGAGGCCGGGTGGAGACTCTGCGTGTTTGTTTTAGGACACGTACCTAATGTCGTCGGTATTTTTACTTTCCTTGCAAAAAAAGAAGTAACTTAAGAAGTGTATATTTGTAGAATTTACTCCAGCAAGCCCGCGCACTGCGCAGACGGTAAGTAACACCTGGAGTACATCGCTGTGTACACACGGAGTTCACTCGGAGTACTGTCAGCCCGGAACACTGGAGCACACCACACACCAGTTGTCGACCGCTCGACTAAACTTCTGCATTTATATTCTTTTCGTCCAAACATAAAACGGCGAAATATGGCCATAACGCAGAGTGCTTTATTACAAGAATTACAAGAATTCTGAGGCAGTAGACAGATTAAAGTGGGGTCACACAGATGAACTCACAAATCTCCACAGAGCACGACTAAAAAAAATCCAACTTACAAGATAGAATTAAAAATAAAGAGTTCTGTGAATAAAATAAGATTATCGTTCTAAAGAAACATATCTAGGACAGGCGTTGGCGTTTCCTCTGGATATCCTCATTGACCTCCCGCAGAGCGTCCTGGTCCTCGCGTCTCAAGCGTCTGGCCTTCTCGATCATTGCCTGTATGTCGTCCTCGCTGAGGTATGCCTCCTGCGGCGTGACTCGCACCTGCACCTGGCGCCCAGAGGTGGTCTCCACGCACGTCACCGTCAGCAGACCGCTCGCGTCGATCTCGAAAGTTACATCGGTCTTTGCCTGCCCCGCGGGTAAGCGAGGAACTGCTATCCTGTATTCCTTGTTCAGGTAATAGTTGTCCTTGACTAGAGGTCTCTCTCCTTGGTATATCTGGCGACAAGACACTAAGGTAAGAAGCGGGTAAGAAGAAAACGACGGATGTATGACGGGATAAAACCTACAAGATGGTCACACCAGATTTTATAAGCATATAGACTAGCTCACCTTTGAACCCAGTTCCAGCTGATTGTCTTCAAAGGTCACGTACGTCCGTGTATTCTTGCAGGGGATAGGCGTATTCCTCTTGATGACGCGGCTGAATTTCCCGCCGACCGAAAATACGCCCAGGGAGAGGGGCGTCACATCGCGGAGCTTGACCATCCCGTCGAAGAACTTGTCGCCGGTGAGCACGGCGGCGTGCACTGCCGCGCCGTACGCCACCGCCTCGTCCGGGTTGATGGACTGGCGGAGCTCCTTGCCGCCGAACATGTCCCGGAGCAGCGCGCGCACCTTGGGGATGCGGGTGGAGCCGCCCACCAGCACCACCTCGTCGATGTCCCCTCGAGTCACCTGGGGGACACGCACCAACGACGGCATGATCACGGCCCTGGACATCGGAGCGCGAGAAGAAACGAACGGCGGCGTCCTTTTACCTTTGCATCGGTCAACACCTTCTCGCTGACCTGGATGGTCTTCAAGAATAATGAGGAGCAAACGTTCTCGAAAAGAGACCTCGAGATGGTCGTCTGGTACCCCTTGTTGAGCCGCGAGAGGAAGACGGAAAGAGGCGCCTGCGGAACGGTGGACAGCTTGCGCTTGACGAGCTCGCAAGCCTGGCGGAGGTCCTGCATCGCCTGCTTGTCCTGCATCAATGTCTTCTTCTTGGCCGCAGTCAACGTTTTCTTCAAGTCCTGAGGATAAGAAAAGACGGCTCAAGATTGTATTCCAAAGGGCTTGCGGAGGACTGTCGAGGTCTGCACCTGCACCTCACCTCGAGGCAGTGCTCGAGCAGAAGCACGTCGAAGTCCTGGCCGCCCAGGTGGGTGTCGCCGCCCGAGGCCAGGACCTGGAAGGAGCTGCCGCTGATCTTCATCACGGACACGTCGAAGGTCCCGCCGCCCAGGTCGAAGATGAACACGGTCTTCGACGGGCCAACGTCCTTTTTGTTGTCCAGGCCGTAGGCGATGGCGGCTGCCGTGGGCTCGTTGATCATGGCCAGCACCTCCAGCCCGGCGATCCTACCTGTGGGCGGGGAGGACGAGTGAGTAGAGGAGAACTACGGTCTAGACTAGCATGTCACATATCGGCGCACTCACAAGCGTCCTTGGTGGCCTGGCGTTGCCGCTCGTTGAAGTAGGCGGGCACGGTGACCACGGCCTTGGACACACTCTGCCCCAGGGCGGCCTCGGCCGTTTTCTTCAGGTCGCGCAGCACCATGGCGGAGATCTGCAAGAGAGGGAATTAAGGCGGTTAGTCGTCGGCGACCTGGTCACATGAATGGGGGTGGGTGGACTCGGCTCACCTCCTCCGGTGCGAAGGTGTCGTTGCGTTCGCCGATCTTCACCCTGATCCTCGGCACGCCGCCGTGCTCCTCCACCTCGAAGGGCCACACGCTCTTGTCCTCCTGGATGCTCCGGTCGCTCCACTGGCGGCCGACGAGCCGCTTGGCATCTGCAGCAGAGGAACAGAGATGTTTGGGGTTCATGGTGGACCGGGAGGGGAGGGGCTCACCTCAGACACGCACCGAACACCTGGTTGGCGGCGGGCAGGTCCTTGGCCGCATCGCCGACGAACGACTGGCCGTCCAGGAAGCCGACGATGCTCGGCGTGGTGCGGCTCCCGTTGTCGTTGGCTAAAATCTCCACTTTTCTCCTTCGGCACACCCCCACCACCGAGTACGTGGTGCCCAGGTCGATGCCAACAGCAACCCCGTCACCATCGGGCAAGTCCAAGTCATCTTTGACATGAGAAAACAAAATACTGCTTTCATCGGAGATGTCATAGATTTCATTCGAAAAATTACGTATGAATTACATCGCAACATAACCTCAGCATCATTTTATTCGTTTTATGCATTCATCATTCTTATCAAATTATATTATTGTAGGTGGTGTTCGACAATACAACGTGACAAATCTACAGTACATTCAGTACAACGGACGAAAGCAGCGTCACTTGTGTCTTGTGTTTCCTTTCGGCAAGGTAAACAATATCACCTTGCCCAAAACGGCGGGACCTAACCTAACCGCATTCTTCAACTTCGACTGTTAGCTCGGGTTTTGGGGATCGCTGTTTTCTAGACATGTAGGTTTGTGGGACATAATCAAGACTGTAGAACTGACCTCTCAGGGACATAACGCCTGCAGCAAGGTCTTAACTCTACTGTCTCTGCAACACACTCCACTGATAGCGCTTCTGGAACGCCGAGCAGTCGTCACGCCACTGAGTCTGGCTGGCCGGAGAGTGAGTGAAACGTGAAACGATCCTACCGGGGGGGGGG